AATGTGGAAGAGGCCTCGGGCCTTTTATTTGCTTATTTAGTATCTCAAAACAACTAAAACTAGCACAAATGCCATATCTCATATCTATGTAAAGACATTTTCCAGCTTAAAAAGATGCTATGTAGTTTTTTTACATGTAACTTTGAGAATATTTGAAGACTTTTACTTAAAATACAGACTGTTAAAGAAGACACTGACAAGCAAAGGTCACTAAAAATCCCAATTTAATTAAATGTATGTGCATTTAAAGTCAACACTCACTGCTTTTGTCCAGAAAAGGTAAACGAATCAAACATACCTTGAAAAGTGAGTAATCACAGCCTGACATTAGGTTGCTTGACAACTGGATATGGTTGTAGAGACTGAAATAAAGATAGAAAAGCATTAATAAAATCATATTTCACAACATATTATATAGTCAGGGTATCTCACAGCTTGTTTCTCAGTGAGAGCACAGAAGAATCCCAGACATTTATCGTTCCTTACGCCCAGAAATCTTCAACTGTGTCAAATTTAGAGATGAGTCGCAGGTTGGCCTGCCATGTTTTGCTCTTGTCATTCTTGAAGAACCACAGAGACCATCTGTTGTTTTAAGCAGAAAACAAAAATTAGCATAAATATAATAGGCCTATTATTACACACACAATGTAAACAAAGGCAAACAGAACTTCTGGGCAAATGAGCAACGTATGGATGCACGAGATGCAGATGATGCTTGTCCCAAATGCTCAACACTAAACTCTCTAATAACTCAGCAACAGGCTGGCAAAAAAATGAAACTAATAAAGAATTAAAGCAGACAGACTCCCACAGTCCAAATATGAGTCAAATAAGGTCTGAATAATAAGCCAAATATCTTCAGCTGTACTAAATCCACAGAGCAGAGTGTTTGATGAGCAATTAGAACGTTGTGTGAATTTTTCTAGTGAACCTGTTTATCAGACATTTGAATGTTTAGTTATAGGCCATGATCTAAGGCCACATACATTACACGATCCCTCTCATGGACTTCAACAGGCTCAATCACCCTTTGACCCTGAAAACAATGTGGGAATTAAGAAAACTGAGAAATGCACATCACTGTCAATACAAATAACATTAATCTGTTTCAGATGCTTTATGCCACTGTCAATATTTTGGGATATTTAGCCATTAGCATTTACCTTCTCATCAAAATGAGCTGTGAGACACCACTAAAGTGTTTAGGAGCCAACTTTTCTTTTAGCTGACTGGATCTCAGTCGAGTTTGGCTTTTATATTTGACCCTTTTGGACATAAAGACCCTTGTGGAATTTAAATATGCATAAAATATTCATTCACGGCTTATTTGTATTCAGCACAGAAGGTACTTGGAAAGTATCCAAGTATGGATTGAGAGGAAAAACACTGAACTCCCCTGGACAGGTCACCACGCCATCACAGACAATCACAGTCTTACTGTGGGGAAATAAAAAAAAGGCTTGAATCCGACGCTCTGCATGCATAAATACATGGATACAGGTACAATTTAATAAAACTCATATATATAGAGTTATATATGAGTTTTTCCATTTTATCAATGAATCATCCAGATTTTAATTAAGAAAATGCAATCAATCAATTATATTTACTGTCACATACTGTGTATTTACCACATGTCTACAGGTTAGGGGGTAATTTAAGACCAAACTTGTGATGAAATGCACAACAAAAGTCCAAATGTGCATATTAATACAATAAGAAGATGAATAATCTTGTTCTGAGACTTAGAGAACTGGCTGTGGAACCCCACGACCCCATCAGAATCAGCTGGTTTTCTTGGTACGGTAACTTTAACAACTATCCAGTGAAGTCATACAAAGCAAGTCCATGGTGGTGGGGTGAAATCTGGCATTTTAAGTCACCTAACTTTTCCCAGTCTTTTGATCCTTTAGAATTCCTACGTGAGCTACGCACATTAAATTTTCAGTGATGGAAAAACACAAGCTTAAGCTCTGTTAAAAATCTGTAAATAATTTACACCCACTCAAAGTGTCACAATCTAAAGTCAAAATCTTACATTTTTATTACTTTTTTTCTTTAAATAATGAACTTTGAACATCAATATCATGGGATATACCACTTTAATCAGCAAAGCAGCATCAATTTAATGTCCGGCGCTTGAACGCTGGATGTTTTAACTGTTTCATACTAGACTGATCCCCAGCTCCTCCAGTCTGCATGTCAAAGTGTTTCTTGGGAAAGATACTGAAGCACAAATTACCCTGATCCATCCATCAGTGTGTGTATGAGTGTGATCGTTAGAACACGCTGACAGGCATAGTATAAAGCACTGCTTTGAGTTCTCACTTGGAGTAAAAATGCGATACATAAGCCAGTCCTTTTACCATTTAATAATTAAATGGAGAAAACCCGAAAAGGTGCTTTACAGTTTGATCTTTCCTTTTCCAAAGATGGAGGTTTCTGTGAGATTTTCCATGAGTGTACTGCAGCCCTGGGCCTGCAGGGCCAAAACTGATCCCCAGCCTAAGCACTGGGTACTCTTGCATTTAACAGAAGCCACAACTATTACATCAGCTCATCTGACTGTCCTGCTGTTACCATTTTTTGTACATATAAACTCAGCATAAAAGTAAATGACAAACAATGATTTAATGATGCGGTTCCACTGCATTATCTAATTGTGTGTGTTTGGTGGGGGTTGAGTGGGACAGAGTCATGTGATCTGGAAATCCTAGCTGTGCGATATCAATGAAAACACTGAAGATCCATCAAAAACACATTTGAGATAACTTCATATTTTAATTATTAAATGTGTATTTATGACATTTTATGACTGCCAAGTCTGTTAGACACTGTCTTCAATCAAGATGAAAATTGGTTTAACTCATCAAAATCTATCTTGGAAACAAAACACATTTGCATTTGTTCTTCTATTTATGTTTCTATCATGCAGACAAATTGTGTAAATGGCTCCTCTTCCTCCCGTAAACACAGCACTCATTGTTTTCAGTGAGTGGTCAATTCATGTCTCTCTTTCACTTCTGCATGAGCGGCTGCTTCGGCCATGAGGAGAAACGGTCATTCAGTTCTCGAACTGAGCCTTGTGATCAAACATGAGTCTGACACAGGTCACCAGTCTTTTCTCTGGAGTTTGATGCACTTTTCATCTTGACATTTATCCACTCCCACACACAAGCGGTCGCTCTTACTGACCGTGATAAGATGCTGGCATGTCCTATGTGAATGGCAACTGAAATGCTTTTGTTTTGTTTTGCCTCCAAAGCACAATTTTCAAGCCACTTAGACAAAAATTACTTTAATTCCGTTGAATTAACGCAAAGCCTGCCTAATTGCTATTCTAAAAATAGTAATTAAGGCTTTATTATACAATTTTAAACTTTAATAACAGTCTTTGCATAACAACAAACAGTTATGCAAAGCAAGGAGGCGAACAAACTATCAGACTTTTTGACTTCAGCTGATAAGCAGTACTGATTTACAGGCCTATAAACACATCACACGGATGACTCACACACACTGGACACGATTTGGTAATAGGAAGTGAGGCAACAATTATATATATATTATTTGGGCCTTAACAGACAAGCCATACTATTAATTACTATTCAATAATGTGATAACAAGTGTTGGCATAAAATAATTTAAACGAGTAATTCTGATCTTTGGTTTTTATCTGGAGAGATAAAGAAATTTTGAGACTGTGGGAGTTTTTAAGACGTTTTCAGAAATCTTTGTGGGGGCATTCAACAGGTTTTCTAGGTTTTTTCTTTTTTTAGTATATAAACATGCAGGTTTTATGTACTGGTAACCACTGAAATTAAAGTTAATTTAAATAACGCTGTAGAACAGCTCATCAAATAAACGTCCTGAGGTGTTACCAAAAGTGTCATGACTTGCTTGAAGGAAAACTTTGGGTCGCTTTACATAAACCTGCGGTCTCTACCTGTTCTGGAGCGGGTGTTTGATGTAGGCCTCTGGGCTCACAATCTCCTGTCCGGTCTGCTCAGCTCCATCTTCATCAGGCTGGGAAGGACTTGGGTTAGTTTCCTAAAAAAAATAGATGGAGGCTCAACACTAATAGAAGGTATACAATAAAACTGAAAACAACATGTTTGAGTTCTGGTTTTTCCTCTTGTTTACTTGTTTCCACTAGTAGAAGTCCCATTTTTAAAAAAAGAAACTGATATTATAGCCTAAAACGAAACTTAGATCGACTTAAATTCCGTGACGGAAGCAGATGTTTACGGAATCCATTACGAACATCTGGAACACATTTCACTATGATGCGAGACAAAGACTAACTAATATTAACTATAAAATTACTTAATACAAATAAGGAATCCCCTCTGTGCTTCTACATCATTTACCTCAGCTTACAGCACTGCTAACGGCGGACCGCAGAGGTCATGTGTCGAACCATTCTGACAGCTGGATTTTTATTTACATAAAGTCCTCCTCGGATATAAGGTATGATTTCACGTGCCTCTAATAAACACATATTTCTTGGAGGTTCACTTCACCGCTGCGCAATGTCCGTCACTAAAAGTGACTGGTTTTCAGGTGAGAGTTAATGTGCTTGCCTCGATTGGTAGCAGTAACGTCAGCCTTGAAAGTTGGGAGATTTCCACATACAAGCATTCCTGTTTTACGCCTCGCTCGTGGCACCCAAGACAAATTTGAAGTACTCAAAACAACACGTGCGGCACCAACAACGCTCATTAAGCATTTACGGGCTAACGTTAAGAGTTGTACGTGAAGTTTACGGTTGACACCGCCCTGTAATCGAAGCGAGAAGACCCTCATATGTTTTCATGTGTTCTTTACAGAAAGTACTCACCGGTTCGGCGGTCGCCATCTTACAATTCTCTGTTAGGAAAGTTTCTGTTGATTGGACCGAACTATGCAACGTGACGGTCCCGCTGCGGACATGCGCCGTGCATGCAGCTGCCACTGGCTGGCTGCGCCGGCTGGCTGCTTGTCGTCGACTCCACCCCTTGTGCAGACGGAGCAGGCATGGCGAGCACCGAGGCTAAAAGGGAGTGTGAGACAGAGGGCTGCAGTAAGGACGCCAAACTTCAGTGCCCCACATGTATCAAGCTTGGTATTCAAGGTTCCTATTTCTGCTCGCAGGTACTTCTGCTTTCCCGGTTTGTCTGCTTTAAATGTGAGCTGGTGCCGCGTGCCGGGGCCCTCTGTTTTATCACGAGGTTGCTAACTGACAAGCTAGGTAGCTGTGTGTACGTGAATCTATTGGTAAAGCGCAACTTTTTGTGAACGTTGCGGATGCTTATTAGTTGTATAGTGGCACACAGACTGGTGGCGATAAATAATGCAACCAGTGATTGTAACTGGTGCTACCTGCTAACCACCAGGCCGAGGGCAAACGCTTAGCTAGCTAACTTATGGCTAAAATGAGTCATGTAACGACCCTGGTCAAAATAATAGCTGTGGCCAATTGGTGTTAAGTTGTCTAACGTAAAACGGTTTATGAAGTCATATTTATTGTGTAGGAATCACATAAAGTGATGCAGTATGTTGCACACACTTGCATTTGAGTTGTAAAGTGATATGTCACGCAACTCTAGCCCGACAGATCATCCTGGTTCTTTGGTTCCCACGAGACCAAACATCTGTAGGAAATGTGTCATTTTAAAGATGGAGTGTTTATGCGTTGGGTCTCCTACTTGGCTGGAAATCAGAAGAGCTACATGTAGTATGCAAACACATTTCTTTCAGAAGTTTGGCAGCTTAGAGTAGTGACAAGCACATTGGTACGCCACTTGTGTTTTAATTACCAGTTATACCACGTGGATATTTCCTTTGTAGCTGCAGACACTGGATTAGAATGATCAGTAGAATTTTGAGTAAAATCTCTCAAGATTTCTTTGAAAAGCTAAAAAAGCTTTGAAAAGATAAATAGTTAGTAATAAACACTGTCAGCAACACGATCTTGTAGTGCAAAGGTATTTGACCCTAAAGGTCTCTGCTGTGAGTGCAGTTTTGGTTCTGCTGCCAGACTCGGCTTTCCACTCCGTGCCATTAACTGTCCACGCTGATTTATAGGCCTTGATGGTTTCTGTTTGCAAATCAGCGAATAAGATGACCTTTACCGATGGCAGCAGGCCATCCTTTTTCTGCTATTTCTCAAAGTAAAGTAACCCAAATTTCAGTTGTAGCTGACTATAATTGGGTTATATGGTTGTGATCACGTGTGAATGTTGCATATTGTTGATATGGACTTCACTGAAAAATTTGTGCTGTAACAGTAATGATAATATTTTTCTTTGCAGGAATGTTTTAAAGGAAGCTGGGCATCTCACAAGTTGCTGCACAAAAAAGCAAGTAGGTGCAATTGGGCACTGTCTACCACTGTGCTATCATGATGCTTAGCTTATATGAAGTAACACTACAATCATAAAATGAGACTAACAAAAAGAAACACATTTATAATAATAACAGACTATACTAACTACATTCAAATATGCTCCTGTAATATCCTAGCTGCAACTAAACCCGGAAAACCGAAAAGTGTAAATATATCACTGCACTGCAAGTGATCACACCATAACTTTGAAAACACTGCAGTCAGTGCAGACATGGGTACACACACTACAAACAAGTACTGTTAAGAATTTAGAGCTATACATTACATACTGTGGATTGAAACAAGGAAGTGGCACAAAACAAATGAGGTTTTCTAAAAATGAGGTTTTCTAAAAATGGAAATAAAAAGTTATTTAGTCCTTACAAGATGCGGTAACTACTGCTACTACTAAAATGAAAGCTACAAGGAAATCAAAAAGGACAGTGGGACAAGGTCAAATTAGTGACTGCAAAAACCAGACAATTCCAACACAAAATAAAAACCACTATTTGATAACCATAATTTGAAACAGGTCTGAACCAAAAGAAACCTAAAACTAAAAAATGCTTATTATACCCGCTGCATCGCTAATTTTCCCACGTACATGAAATCTAAGTCTCAGCAAATTCATTCATCAAACTCGTAACCACACTGAAGCGTGACTGTCAAAAGAAACACCCGCATGGCAAGATGACCCAACTCTAAGGCTACGTCCACACTAATGTGTTTTCTCTCCGTTTTGGCCTCCCGTCCACACTGAGACGGCGTTTTCCTCAAGGAAAAACACAGCGTCTTGAAAACACATACATTTCAAAACTGAGCTGCCCCTTCGCAGTGTGGATGCTCATAAACGCAGACGTCCTAAAATGATGATGCATTTTAGTCATGTGATGCAGTCATGTGACCAATTAAACAAAGATAGCTGAGTGCATTGCACAGCAGTTGTTTTGATTGCTCTCAATTTTGACAGACCGAAAAAAGATTAATATAAGTTTGTACATGCTCCTGTTAGCTTTTCTTCAAATTCTTTAATTTTCACTCGCTTTTGCGCATGCGCAGGACTGGAACGTAAGTGATTTCGGTCGTTTCAATGTGAACGCACAACTCTGTGAAAACGACTGAAAACGCTAGTGTGGACGCAGAGCATTTTCAGACGAAAACGCCGTTTTCAAATCTATCCGGGCTAGTGTGGACGTAGCCTAAGGCAGCACATATCCATTACCACAGATCAAAATCATTCACAGCTTCCTTTTAAGACTCCTCTGCCAATCAAATTGCAGCTCAGAAAGCTGAGAGGTGGCACCCCTTACATATGCGTGTCCTTTTAGAGTCACGAGTTGGTGAAACTTCTTTCTGTACTTTGTGCCAGATGATTCAGACACCCTGTGAGTTGTTTTATGTGTATGTTGTATATTCTTTTGTATTTTAGAGGAAGAGAAGAACCAAAATGAATCTAAGAACTGTGTGGAGAAGGAGATCAACACAGACCCATGGCCAGGGTACCGCTACACAGGAAAACTACGCCCTCACTACCCTCTGGTAAGTAATGAAAAATGAACGGGCAGGCAGAACAGCTACAGTCCACTATATAGGGCTGCATTAACCTGCACTAGCCAAACAAACTGGACTTTGGGGATCAAACATGGCATGGTATGGATAGCCCAGCTTCAGTATACTACTAAGCCTAGTTTATGGTCATTGCATTGGTTATTGCGTGTAAAGTTGTCTTGCTGACAAGATAAACTAGGTGTACACATAAAAGGTGAAGTGAAATGACATTGAGTTATCTACATGTAATAAAATCATCCCAACAAGTATTTCACAGATTGTAACAGATCAGGGGAATAAACGAAGCCAACAGGAAAAGCATCATCTGAACTTTTCAGTCGTGTCATCTCACTTGGCTGCAGTTTGTGTGAAAAACTATTGCCAACATACAGACAAAAGCTGTTGGATTAGGACATCTGAGAATCTAGACACTGCTGATCCTTTGCTGCTAGCTTCCCGTGAGATGTGTTAGGTCTCCTGGTACCACTGCTACTGATGCGAGGTGTAGTAAATGCACATAAAGCCAGAATTAAACTGAATACATCAGTACGTTGACACTGATATCCGGTCCAGCTTTTTGAATCAGGATCAGACTAATATCTGACTAATGTCAGAATGGTGCATCAAAAAAAAAGGGCTGGTGGTGGTGGGGTGCATTGGATTTATAACACAGCATGAAACGGGTACAAGCTCAAGCATAAAGATAAGAATCATCTTATGGTATTTACCTTATTCAAATGAATGGAAATCAAACACAGACACTAAAAGGAAATGTTACATTTTGTTACTTGCTTCAAGGATTCTCTTATATAAACACTGACATGCTGAGTTAACCTGTCTGTCTTTCTTCTGGCCTTCTCTGTAGACTCCCATGAGACCTGTGCCAGGTGACATCCAAAGACCTGACTATGCTGATCATCCCAGAGGTAACCCGATCTCTTTCTGTTCCAGCAGAAGTGATCTTTTTATTTATTTATTCATTTTAAGCTGTAAATCCTTTTTGACATGTCACAGTGTGCAGGGAAGTGCAGTTCATCAGAGGTACTGTGTACAAGTAAGAGGATTCATTCAGGGCTTTCATACTTTTGATAAATCAGAAATCAACCCTAGCTCAAATTGGGGCATGGGACATGATGAGCATAAGCTGTGGTGTCTTGGTATAAAATGAAAATATTACAATATTTAACCTGACTTTGACCTGCATAACTGATGGGTTCATTGGTATTTTAGTGGCAAATAAGTTACTAATACCGGTATGTCATTTGGTAAGTATGTGTTGACATCAGCTAAGTGGGGGAAAAAGTCCAGACCACATTCATTATTACCACAATAAATGAGTTAGAAACTAATGGCACAGATTTAGTAACGCATGCATGAGCATTAAGAGCTACCTGTTGAAGGCCCGTCTCTGTCTCTGTCTGAACAATGCACTCATCCATGCATGCATGTTCTGCCATTTTTGCATGAATGCACAGATAAGCTGATAAGTCTTGTGCTGTCAGCTAAAGATCTGTACACACAGAGGATAGTCTGAACAGGCGGGTAATGAAGAGCCACATCAGGAAGTTTTGTGCTATAATTGAAATTCAGCAGTTTATCGAGATCTTTGTCACCTGTTCATTTTTAATTTTGCTTAAGTGGGCATATTTAATATGGTGAGGCAACTGTGCCGCGTTCAGCCACAACAACCAGTTTACAATTGAGCTCATGCATTAGAATTAATATCACATGGTTTATATTCAGATGCAGAATTAGACGTGTGCTCACTGTTTGTCCAGGATTATGTTTGCTTACTTGTTTCTAGTCTTTTCAAGTCCACTCAAAGGATAAATTCACATATGAGCCTCTACGTTCTTTTTCTTACATCATGGGCAGAACACATTTTACATTACATGCTGTAGCTACTTAGTAACCTTATTGTACAGATGTGGTTGGGCACAGACCATTTGATTTGTGCATCATTTTCAACTTCTAATGATGAAATTCATGTTACTCACAAGTAGACCCTACTCGCTGACAAGAAATATGTAATCCTGCAGTTACACGTGGAGTTGAGTTGACTCAGTGAGTATCAGCCTGAGATACAATGGCTATACTCTCATTCTGTATTGCTTCTGTCCTTGCTCTTTAAAATATTTTCCTTGTTGGTGTAAGTCTGATTCCTAAACAATTTCCTAAAGTCCATCTTCAGACTCTAACCTTATTTTTAGCTGATGGTGTTGTTTAGCCTTTCCAACATACTGACTTCATCAGGATTTTAAGAGTGGGGTGGAACAGAGGAGCAGCTCATCATGATTTGCTGTGTTGCTCAGTAGTGGACTAAACCTTTAAACATTCACTGATAGATTAATCGTTTCTTCTCCCACAGCGCTCACTGGACTGTTTTTAAATCCAGAACCTGATATTTCTTGTTATGATCTTGTCAAGATCAATCAGTAAATCTGGATTTAAATGTATCTACATGGGCAAAGTATTGTGCTTAGTGCAGCTCGTTTTAAAGCTGCTGCATACAGTATATGGATGTAATTTCACAGTTCAGCTTTTGGAGATGTAGCACTTTGAAATCAGTGAATATCATGTAGGCACATCTGTACTGATGCCTTTTATTTCTAAGCTGGTGTTTCAAACCGGACTTGAATAGTCTTCTTTCTAATGTCCCTGTAATATCTCACGGTGATCTCTCTCCCTCGTTGGTGTTGGATTTATTGCAGGGAAAAGTCAACCTGCTGACAGCTCTGCTGTCACGCTGTGTTTTTTTATCACCAGTTTGTTTCTTTTATGTAAATTATCACAAGCTGAGATTACTCTAACCTGCCTTATTTTACATTTATTTCTCTGGGCAAGTCATTCTTTTTTTGCAGCCATGGCAACCTCTGCATCCGTGTCATCTGACTGCATAGATCCACACTCAGGTAGTCATGGTTACAGTCTCCTTTCATTCTCCTGTGGTGCCAATTCGGGGAGTGAAGTACAATTGATTCAGGACAGTGTTGCAATGGATTTAAATTATTACTGGTAAATAGGGATTCTTTAATAACTCAAATGTGGACAGTGAGCATCTTCAAATCAGCCGGTACACATCAACTAGCTGCACATTCCAAAGGAAAAGGCCGAAAAATTCCTGATAGAGGCCTCTTATTAGTTCAGGCTCGGTCCCGCTTCAGGGCTGAACACAAGCATTTTCAGCAGTGATTTTCATTCTGAAAACATAATGTACACACGGTCCTTTTCTCATACTTCGCTTCTTCTCAGAACAGGTGTATCAAAGTGTTAGTAAGTCCAATTGATTTCCATTGTCACACTGTGGCCTCTTCAGGTCAAAAGGACATCAGCATTTGATTCAAACACTAATCTGTCTCATGTCTGTGTTGCTAGGCAACTGTTCACGTTCATCCAGCATTCATCTGGTCGAGTTAATAAATTATGGACCAGCGAATTATTGATGACACGGGTGCTTTGACCAACAGATATTTGTATGCATTTTGCAGTCCAATTAAAATGTTGGGCTCTTGTTGGATTGGTCGTTACCAAGCTGACCTGCTGCACTGAGACCTGCACTTTTGTTGTTCTCCATATAACAGAAGCTGCCGAGCTTTGTTCTTCTGAGCCGACGGTGTGAGTGTCATTAGAGCCTGCCTCTGCTCAGGTGCTGAAGCTGTAGTGTAGTCTTTATAGGAGTGGCTAGTTATTCATAGCAGCACAAGATGCTTGTTAGATGTTTAGGGCTGAAGCTGGCAAAATATCAAAACAGTTCAGCTTGATATGCACTCATGACTCTTTATTAAGAACACCAGTGCAAACTAATAGACAGACTGCAATCTGATGCAATTCTACTTTTACACTTGTGATTTTTGTTGATATTGTGAGAAAGATGGTTTGGTTTTGTACTGGATTTAAATATACTATCGGTCCTCATGATCATACATGAGGTGAGTTTATTTTTCAGATTTATACTGCTGTACAAGCAGTAAAAAATTAAACATCACAAGGATTTCACATTAAAAGTACCAAAACTAAACCAGGTGGCACTCCTGTGCTACCAACAGTAGTTCTATTCCTCTGACATATCAAAAACAACGTTCATGTCCTAAAACAAGGAATATCTGTTTGTAGTGATTAAACTTTTCTCATGAGAGCGCACCCTGGGCTTAGACTTTAGCCATGGCTTTCTGAGAGTAGATTTGCCTTCTGCTATAGAGAGTAGTGTTTTTTTTATTTATTTTTCCAGATGTTCCCTGTTCTTACACAGTAGTTTTTACTGAAACTAAATCACTGTTTTCTGATGGTCTAGAGGTGGATTAATTGTGTACTGTAACTTGTTGAAGCTGCGAGGAGTCAGAGACAACTGAAGGTAAAGCTCATAGGACAGTATGGATTAACATGATTGCCTTTATTTAAGTATCTATATTCTTGCATGGGGTAATAGTTACAGTTGCACCAATTGCAGTGTAACTGTTAAAATTATAGTATGAATGACAATGCCTTCTCAGTAACAGATGATTTATTTAGTTGTCACTTGTGATGGAAAAACAAAATCAATCAGGAGAATATAAATCCAGCAGTGACAGTCTGGAAATTGATAGACTGACAGCAGCTGCTATTGCAAGATCCTGGCTGAATGAGCTCATCAGTTTCACTGAGTATTGACGTGTGAGTGATGCCAGTTGTCTGTCCTTGTTTCCGTCCCGTAGGGATGTCTGAGTCCGAGCAGTTCTTGAAGGGGACGTCACAGATCAAGACTCTTTACCCCGAGGACATTGAGGGCATGAGAGTTGTATGCAAGGTAGCAATCAGTATTGACCGTCTGCTTTCAAGGCGTTCATTTCTAGCTTACTTTTTATTGCAGTGCGATTTTGACATGTGTGCTATTTGCAGCTGGCAAGAGAAGTTCTGGACATTGCAGCCGTGATGGTGAAACCAGGCGTTACAACAGAAGAAATTGACCACGCCGTACATCTGGTGCGTTGTTTTGAAACAAGACACAATGCCTCATTTTTGGATCCACTAAACACAAACTCGCATTATGGCTCATTATAGTTCATCCACATGTCAGCGCCAGGCATGTAAGCAACGTAAGCACTTAGGTTTGAACTGTTAAATATATCAAATGAACTCCTTTAAAATGGATTATTGATCTTCAATATTTGTCATACATTTACATTTGTACTCTGTTGTTGCACTGCTGCCATCTCTGTAACATACACACTTTGTCCCGACAGGCCTGTTTAGCAAGGAACTGCTACCCCTCCCCTCTCAACTACTACAATTTTCCCAAATCCTGCTGCACATCTGTTAACGAAGTCATCTGCCATGGCATCCCAGACAGAAGACCCCTGCAAGAAGGAGATATCCTCAATGGTGCGTTCACTGCCTCACATGTCTTCTCTTATCTGTTCCTGCTTTACTGCCATCGTGTGCTTTAATCTCCAGGGAACTTTAATACTACAGTGTTTAAAAATGTATTCATATTCCCAATGTCTAGCAAAGTCCTGTGAATGCTTGAGTTTGTATACTGGTAAATGTTTGAGGTGAGGGGGGGGGAAGGGGAATTGGGATGACAAATGATTGTACCGAGATCCCGAAATGGTATCAGCAGGAGTTTGGCCAATTTTAGCCTCTTTATGAATATTTCTGCTAAGGCGACGTCTTCTATCCGCCACTCCCCTCAGAGCGTCTGATGGAGTACTTGCCAACAACTCATCTCTCGCTGCGTGGCCCGACAAGACAAATAGTTTCATTAACCTCTACCAGTGGGGCTTTGCCAGTCAGATTCTCTGCTGTCTATATTTTTCCTCAAGTGGGGAAAAGTCCCAGTTTGCAAACTGGCACTTCCAATTTTATCAGTAATTTTTTAATAAAAGGATATTTTGTATTGCCTTGCAAATGGATACGTGTTTTCTGAAAACTTGCTAGCGCCTGTTATTAACTGCTCTTGGCAGGTCATTCATAATATTGCTCCCTTTGTGTTAAACATAAAAGAATTCAGTTTGTCATCTGATACAATGGTCCTGACATATTTGTCTTCCCACGCTCACGCAGTGGACATCACTGTGTACCACAATGGTTTCCATGGCGACCTCAACGAAACCTTCTTTGTTGGAGAGGTGGACGAAGGAGCAAAGAAACTGGTTCAGACTACGTATGAATGCCTTATGCAAGCCATTGATTCTGGTAGGCTCACTTTCTGTCTTTCTAACATTTTACAGTGATGGTGGTGTTTTGTGTTGAAGTGATGGACGTTATGTTATCTACCCTTGTTTAATCAAAGACACAGCTTTGGCTAAATCAGCCAGTATTAGCTTATTAGGATTATTGGTATCAATATATTGAGGTCATTGAATAACAAGAATTAGCAGAGTTCGGCCACCAGAGAGCACTTACATTTCAGAGCAAGTGGAAATTGATGGGTCATTCCTCAGTGACCCATCAGTTTGTGAACTGCAATCCTTAAAGTGGCCAGGATGTTGCAAATTCTGATTATCTACATGTGCGTGGCAACTGGGATGCACCATTTGCTGAGGAACATCATGCATTATGGAAGATTATCAGTTAATCACATTTTATTTTCTGGTCTGCGCAATAAAAATAAAAGCAGATCCTCTTTTCCCACAGCCTCTTCAGAGGTCTTGTTTTGTCCAGTTAATAGTCAAAGATATTCAATTGACTGCTGAAGGCAAACTCAACATTACCTTTGTAAACCTGAAATAGGAAAATACTTTACATTTTGAAACATTGACGTAGAAACAACATCGTTTTCCATGTCAAATAGTTACATTAGTGTGTGTGGTTCAGGAAATAAACTAAGCCCTGTGTTGTTTGCTTCCTCAGTGAAGCCTGGCATTCGCTACAGAGAGCTGGGTAACATCATCCAGAAGCACGCTCAGGCCAACGGCTTCTCCGTGGTGCGCAGCTACTGCGGCCACGGCATCCACAGACTTTTCCACACGGCTCCCAATGTGCCGCACTATGCCAGTGAGTAACTCCCACGGTTAGCGCTGAATGTGTTAGCATTAATTACTCAAAAGTGCATGATTTATGTTCTCCTTAATTTCCCAGAAAACAAAGCAGTTGGTGTTATGAAGCCTGGCCATGTGTTCACCATTGAGCCCATGATATGTGAAGGTGAGTGTAACCTTTGTATGAATAATAATCTTTACAGAAACAGATCAAATGAATATGTTAGAAAACTGCCTTAATTAGATTAGACTATTTGCAAACTACATAGTTCAAGCGACTAAAACTAGAATACTATGTCAAGTTAAACATTGGAATTCTTGTTTCTGTTTGCAGCTTTATTGCAGTGTAGTTCTCATAATACACCATAAATGGTGTTTTGCTTGGTTTTTAGGAACAGAAGCCTTTGAAGAAACCAAATTGTTTTATCTAATCAGCTCATCCTAAAGCAAAATGACCAAGTTGCCTTCAGAAGTTGCCTTCAGAAATCACCTTCACAGTCGAGCATATACTGAGCAAAGCTGAGACTATTAACAGGTTCTTACAGGGTAAAATTGTGTAAAGCCAGTCAGGCTCCAAAATGGGTCATTACACTTTAAAACCTTTAACTATCTCACAGGTAAACAGTGAGTCATTGCATAGCTCAGAGGCTTTGTTTTGTCGACTTTGCTAAATTGACTTTGTGTAAGCCAAAGTCAGAAATCGTGTGCGTGTGTGTAATGTCTCAGGTGGCTGGCAAGATGAGACGTGGCCAGACGGCTGGACGGCGGTGACCAGAGATGGGAAGCGCTCGGCTCAGTTCGAACACACCCTGCTGGTGACGGAAACTGGCTGCGAGATCCTCACCCGCCGCCTGGAAGACAACGGACGCGCTCATTTCCTCAGCCAAATGTAGACCGGACAGAAACGCACCAAGGACTGGACTTTACCA